ATTATGTGTTTCGGCTGTTTGATTCAGTGAGGTGCCCAAAGTGTCAGAAGTTCAGCCTACACTCAAGTAGGACTCTGGCAGAGACACATGCCTAACTGGCATGTTCTCTCCCTCCTGGTCAATTGTTCGGGAGCTTCAAAAGCTTTCTTCAGCCCGAACATCACAGCGACTGATGCCAACCGACACCGGCACACTTAGGGTCTTCGCAGCATTGCATGACAGACCTCAGCAATTCAGCATTTTGGCTAATCTACTTTATTTACATATAAATACACGGAGCACTGCAACATGGCTCCCTCTCTCTCTAGCATCAGACAGCAAAGAGAGAAAGAACAAAGGACAATAGTCCCACTACACAGTAACACAAACATCCTGTCTCCATCACTTCCCACTCTGTGGAGTCAAAACATATACCGTCATGTGATAGACAACAATCCTATGACTGCAATCATGGAGCAGGAATTCTAACACAAAGATGGCTCCTATAACCAACACACACACACAGTTACCTGGGTTTTCCCTGTCCGTACACGATGATCAGCATGCAACCTTCCCAGAATGATTGAGGCAGCAAAAGCTGCTTTGATAATAGATGGCCTGCTGGAAGTTAGATTAGACATCTGTTCTGCTGTGAAGCTAAATGATACAACATAGGGGTTGAATGACTCTTTTCAGCTGGGGTCTGGGGTTGCTGTAATCCCTTTTTATTCTTCAGAAACTGTGACCAGCCATGTGTTTTGAGTTACAAGCAAATGCAAATCCATCTGCCTGAAGGGCGCAAAGACGACTCATGTTATTCTGTGTGTGTGTGTGTGTGTGTGTGTGTGTGTGTGTTTTAAAGCCCTGTAATATTGCAGAGAGGGCAGGGGGCTGCAGATGGGTTTGAAGATGGTGTCATCATAGTGAGGCTTCATTTCATTTAAGATACCAGAGCTCACTCCTAGGCAAAGCGCTGTTAATGAGTGAGCCAAGCACCAGGGTCAGCTCAGTAGGGCAGTGGCCAATGATCCGAGCTCTGAGGAGGGGCCTCACTGCATATCCTGATGCTGACCCAGAATTCCAGCAAAGTCACCCAGGTCTAGGGATGAAGGAGAAATTCGATCCAGTTCTCAACTAAATTTGTGTCTACCTAATTTGTGATTTCCAAAAGTAAAAGCTATGGTTTTTCCAGTAGTGATGTACGGAAGTGAGAGCTGGACCAGAAAGAAGGCTGATCGCTGAAGAATTGATGCTTTTGAATTATGGTGCTGGAGGAGACTCTTGAGAGTCCCATGGACTGCAAGAAGATCAAACCTATCCATTCTTAAGGAAATCAGCCCTGAGTGCTCACTGGAAGGACAGATTATGAAGCTGAGACTCCAATAGTTTGGCCACTTCATGAGAAGAGAAGACTCCCTGGAAAAGACCCTGATGTTGGGAACGATGGAGGGCACAAGGAGAAGGGGACGACAGAGGACGAGATGGTTGGACAGTGTTTTCGAAGCTACCAGCATGAGTTTGACCAAACTGTGGGAGGCAGTGGAAGACAGCTCTGGCGTATATATTAGGGTAAAGTATGAATCAAAAATACATCCATCCATAACATGCAAAAGTACATTATATTAGGGGGAAATGCTTTGCCAAAATATATACATAAGGCAAAAATTGCATGCAAAAATGTGCATATTAGCCAGAAGAAAAGCTCTGGATTTCCAGAAGGGCATACTGGTTATTTAATTATTTTATTTTATTAAACACATTTGTCACTTTCTTTCGCCGGTGCAACCCAAAGTGCCTTCCACAATCAATCAATAACATACATTAAAAACATCATAAAACAGAGCATAGTAAAATCTAAAACACGTTTTTGGGAGGCAGGATTGAAACATCCCACCCACTCTTCCAGCAGGTCTTCTGATATCCTTAACCACTAAATTGATTGACTCCAGTAAATCATAGACTTCCAGAATTACATCAAGGAAACCATGCTGCATTGCCAGTACAAACACTGCCCTGAACTCTGTTATATTCTGCTAGGTGGGCCATTGGCATGATCTAGCAGAGCTCTCATGTTACAATGTTCCTGGTGTAATTTCAGGTGAAAACTGATTCCGTCCAGCTTGCATGGAATCTATCATAAAAGTTCCTCCAGCCTTTTCAGCCCTTTCTCTCCCTCAGGTTTAGCATTGGCCTCCCCCAAAGGGATGCCCTCCAGATGTTGTAGGACTACAACAACAGCCTGTACTAGCATGGTCCATGGTGAGGAATGATGGGAATTGTAGTCTAGCAACATCTAAAGAACACCAGAAGTTAGGGGAGGCTGCTGTGTCGCATTTGTACAAAGGATGTTCAACATCTCTCTTGTTGAAAATAGGGATGTCCTATTCCATAAGAAGAACAAGAATAATTACTCTGGGTGGCTTCCAACATATATAAAAATATAATAAAACTTAAACTTTTTTTAAAAAACCCTTCTCTATACACGGCTGCCTCCACATGTCTTCTAAAGGTTGTACAGTGGTACCTCTGGATGCAAACGGGATCCGTTCCAGAGCCCCGTTCGCATCCTGAAGAGAACGTGTGCGCGGGTCGCGTTTCACCGCTTCCGCACATGCACGTGACGTCATTTTGACCGTCTGCGCATGCGCGAGCAGCGAAACCTGGAAGCAACGCGCTCCATTACTTCCAGGTCGCCGCGGAGCGCAACCTGAAAATATTCATCCCAAAGCTACTTCAACCCGAGGTATGACTGTATAGTTACATATTTCCTAGGCTTGGGGGTTGCATAACTCCATATCCTCAACATTTATCCAGTGAAAATAAGGACATCCTAAGGAGAAGCAGGACATTACAGGATCAAATCTGAAATTGGGATGGCTTCTGTAAATCCAGGACTGTCCCTGAAAAATAGGGACATTTGGACTGCATCTCACTCTGCAGTCCTTCTCAAACTTAACCCCACTTGACTGGTGATTTTGGAAAATGTAAGAGCTATACATACTAATTAAAGTGTATTTGATGCTTTTTAAAAAAATGGTGGGGTTTAAATGTATTCCCACCCTGAAATAAAGATGTTTTACACACAGCCTGAAGGGGCTTATTCTTTCCTACACACACACACACACACACACACACACACACACACACACACACCGTTTTCCCCAGAAGTGCCAATGCATATGCAAGCTAATTTGTTCTGGCTATTATCACAATTTATTTCAGTCGCTACAAAGCAGCCAATCACTTTAATAAAGAAGGCTCCAGCCACCCAATCTTGCCCAGTTAATAAACCGCATTGAATCGCCCAGAATAAATGGGCTCTCGCTTGCAACCAATATAGAGAATTTCCACCCCGTAGTGTTATCACCGCTACCCAGGTACAATTAAAACGCGTGTTATGCATGGAGCTGTGAGGCCATTACCAGAGCCAACAAACACAATTAGAAAAGGTGCCATTGTGTGAGGCCCAGCTGAAAAATCGGCCTGTTTGTGTGCACCTTTCAACGGATTGCTTGCTGGGTGGCAAAGTATTGAACCGGTAGGTGATTAGGAGACCAGGAAGACAGCTAAGCAAACAAAAGGCTGCGGCCTACCAGGAGACAGCATGAATACTAGGTGAGTTAAGGATGGGCTCCCCAAAGCAAGATGGATTCCCGCCTTTTCAGCATTTTGGTTCATTAAAATATTGATTTTATTGGGTACACAGACTGGAGGCTGCACTCAATTGTCTTTTGTGTTTTCCTCATGCATCTGAGCTTACACCTTACATTTAATGGTTGTCTCCTCAGGCTTATATTGAAAGTAGGAAATTGCTCACTGTTGCTGATAACATTTTGGGCGATGTTTAGGGATATATTTGCTTCTGAGAATTATTCCGCTCAAAGTAGAAAAACACAATCCCTTGTAAAAAAATATGTGTGTGTTGTCCTCACTTGCCTTTGTTATCATCTTTTACTCCCATCAAACAATCGAAACTGATTCTTTGCTGGCAATATCATCTGATATCACTGTTTTTACGGTGTTATCTTTGCTTAAGAAAGGAAGAAGATCGTGCTGGATCAGGCCAGTGGTCCATCTAGTCCAGTATCCTGTTCTCACAGTGGCCAACCAGATGCCTGCAGAAAACCCACAAACAAGATACAAGCACAATATCACTCTCACCTCTTGCAGTTTCCCGCAACCATTGTTCTGAAACAAACTCAACAAGACAAGAATCTGGGGTTAATGAATGGCCACGACTTTATTGATTCCAGATGTAGGTGGCCTTTGGCTCAGGCACTGGGTGTATATCCATTTCAGCCTCCTGTCAGAGGGCTGAAATATTTTGATAGGGGCGTGCCAAGGATTATGGGCTCCTAAAGATGCCAGTCAACTAAGGTGGCCGTTCAAAGGCTACTGCTGGAAGCTCTATGGTCCCATCTGTCACACACTTGGCTTCTCGATAGAGTTTTCCACCTAAATCCCTTTAACGGGGTACCCTGCATATACACCTGCTCCGAAACCCTGCATTTTAATTGTACATACTTTTTATGCAAAGTGCACACTTTCAAAGCATAAATCGCACACTTTCCAGTGCATTCACCCATAATATATGCATGCTGTGCACATTTGTGAAGTGCGCTTTTTCGCCAAACAAAACTGTATTGCAAAATTTGGGAAAGACTGCAGCCCGACTGGGAGCTGTGTTCCAATTTCCAAGCAAGCTTGAGAGCATCAGGTCAGGTCAGTCCTGCCCAACACTGACAATAAGAGTTTCTTCCTTCATACCTGGTAGCCACTGCAACATCCTGTAGCAGCAAATTCTACCATTTAACTATCCTGGAAGGGACAGAGACTTCATGCTAATACCATTTGCACATTGCCTCTTGCAAATCCATTCACACCACCCAGGGCCACCATAAAGAAAGCAGATGCAATACAAAATGAATGTAGCTTGGTAAAAAGTCCATTGAGAGGTCACAGAATCATAGAATTGTAGACTTGGAACGTCTAGTCCAGCGCCCTGAAATGCAGGAATCTTTTGCCCCATGTGGGGCTTGAACCCATGACCTTGAGATTTAGAGTTTCAAGCTCTACCAACTGAGCTATCTCAGATGCCGATGACTCAAAAACCAGCCCAAACTCAAACATGTTGCATCATGCATTCTATGTGTGAGCAGCCCATTGAACTATGGGGAGGGCGATTGTAGCATGTTAGGAGACACGCTTTCAGAGGCCAACTTCTCATGGTTGGGATGTCTCAGGGGATAAGCAGTGAAATCTAGGTCATCATGCTGAGTCCAGCTCAGGTCAGTAGTTCCCGAAAGTCATTATTCTCCAATAGCTGTTTGGCAGCCCTTGGGGAAATGAGCTGGTCTATTGTCAAGTCTTGGCAGACACAAAGGGTCGTGTCACATACCTTCCCCCACAACTGGGGATAATTGTCAGTGTCAGCAGAGGGCAGAAGGTTTCTCATGGATGTCAAGGTTGAAGCACATTGGAAAGGAAGGGCAGTGATCGTTGAGCGGCTGTTGAAGTGGTCCTGTTTGGTGGAGAAATGCAAAATGTCAGTTCCTCCAGACCTGCCAATCAAACAGTAAATGAATAAATAAAAAAGGAGCAAGGACAAGTGCTCTCGGCTGATGCACGTGAGCTGCAGCCACACACAATAGCTGCAGGATTTTTCTACAGTGAGCCTTCACTACTTGTGGGACCGTGCAACCTTGCAGCTCAATTATAGGTGCTTGAGAGTCCCCCTAGTTTTGCAGACCTAGATAGGAAGACATAAAGACCCCTGAATCTGACCTGTCCAGCTTTTCTCCTGGCATGGGGGCTCAAAGCATCTCCTCTCTCTCCCCCTTCCACAAGGGCCTCACATGGGGAAAGGAAGGAGGCAAGTGACAGTGGACGCTTAGACACCCCAGCAAAGCAACTCAAAAACATTTTGATGAAGGGGACCATAGCACAACCCCAGTACTAAATTACAATTGAGGCTGGCCCTTTAAGAGCCACAGTCTTTAGACAAGCATAAGTCCGCTCACCCCTCTTGGTGCGGCAGTGTTGCAGGGCGGCATAGGCTTCATAAGCCCCCTCCGCCTATCAGGAACTGGACCCTAGCCTGCGCCCAGCTTTGGCTAATGGGGATGCAGGCTGGGACTTGGGCTGTGCCAGGGGGCAGAGCCGACACAGCAGGTAGGCTTCCTTCGTATCTGCCCCTTGCCCATTTAAGCAGGCTGCACTTGGGGCACTACCTGTTTGTTCCTTCGCCGGGTTTCCCCCACGCCCACCCACTTTCAGTTTAAGCTGATAGTCAATAGCTTTGCTGTGGCTACAGTGGTTCTCATTCTTTAAGGAGCCGGGTTGTCTAATTGGCACTGACCCAGTGGTTCTGCCTACCTCTCAGCAATTGTCACAACTGGTTAGGCATTGGTGCATTCCTTTGTTTTGGATGGGGGGGAGGTTGTAGTCACCGCCTGCCCCTCCAAACACTGGGGTATCCCATTAAAGGGATCCAGGGGGAATGGCCAAGTCCGTGTGCCCAGGGGGGCCAGGGCCGAAGGCACTCCCCCAAACACTGGTCCTATTTGATGTACCGTAAGTCTTAGGAACCCCCTCCTGGATTGACCACACGTCACTTCAGGTGGGTGGGCGGGCCGGAAGTATTTTGATTGCCCCATGCCCAAGCCAAACCTCTTTCATCATCATCATCATCATAAATAAATAAATAAATTTTATTTATACCCCGCCCTCCCTGGCCAGAGCTGGGCTCAGGGCGGCTAACACCAGTAAAAATTGCAGTAAAAACATACTGGGGGGGGGGGACAAAACAAAAAGCAAAACAAGCCTCATTTTAAAAGTAGCCCATAGATCACATAAAGGGAGGGAAACGTAAGGGTCAGACTGAGTCCAAACCAAAGGCCAGGCGGAACACCTCTGTCTTGCAGGACCTGCAGAAAGAAATCAGATCCTGCAGGGCCCTGGTCTCATGAGACAGAGTGTCCCACCAGGCTGGAGCCAGTGTTGAAAAGGCCCTGGCCCTGGTTGAGGCTAATCTGACTTCCTTAGGGCCTGGGACCTCTAGAGTTGCTATTTATGGACTTAAGGTCCTCTGCGGGGCATACCAAGAGATTCAATAAAGTTGTGCCCTGTTTTGACCCCCAAAACAGCCTCATTGTCTCTTATTTGCATGGGTTGGGGTATGGGAACCCGACGCCTGGTCCTGCAAGTGAAAAAAGAGAGTTATAAACTCACTGTCCACCTCCACTCTTTGTTGGAAGCAAGTTGCTTATTCACATATATGTGTGGCAATGCAACCACTCCCCTGCTTTGCTATATTGGTACCTGGGACAGAACACCTAGTGGATCATGGGAATTTACATGCTGATTTCTTGAGGGATATGATAAGCAATAGGTTTGTGCAAGAGGGCCAGGGTTTGGTTTTTTGTTTGTTTTGCAGGCAGCTCATAAATGCATCTAGTGATCAGCATTTGAGGAAGTTATTAAAGTAATTATCAGATTGGGGAGATCTAGCATTGGCACACGATGTAGGAGGAACATAATGAGTTCCCAAGGCAAGATATAACAGAGCTTTTGGAATAAATGATGCTATTACATTTTTAGGGTCGCCCGCCCCCCCATTCTGATTACTGGTCATGCTGTCCTGACAATCTTCAAGATTGGCTTTGTGTTATTAAAAAAAAGAAAACCTAAATGGGTAATAGAGATGTGGCACTATGTGATGACACACTCAGGGCCATATAACCAAAGCATGTCATTGAACAATGGGGCATTGATGACTTTGTTTGTGTGCTTATGGTTGGAATATAATGTTCCCTGGATGGGAGGGAGAAGAAGAGGCAAGTGAGTTAGTCTTAATGCTTCTACAGTGCCAGCTAAAGTAGTAGCATCCCTTTGCAAAGCAGAGAGATAGAGAGTCCTGCGGCTGGTAAGATTGCATCGCCTCTTAGCTCTTGTGATTCTGCCCATTAGCAGGCAGAATTAGCCGGCCAAATCTCGTCTAAGCCCTTGCTGTTTCCCCCCGGCTTATGTGCTCTGAGTGCAAACAAGGCACTGCCACAGACACATCAGCTGACTTATATCAATCCCACACCCCAATCGCTTTGCCCTTCACAGACGATAGTTGTCTTTGTAGGCAAAAGGCCAAGATGCTGAGCTGATAAAATATTCAAGAGGCTTTTGCTGTGACCTCCAGTGCGAAGGCTTTCCTCCTGCTTTCAAGCACAAAAAGCGGGGAACCATGAAAAAATAAGCTCATGCTAGACGTGTCAGTCTTTAAGACTCTGCTGCAAAAAATAAAACTATCCACCGCCATCCAAAAAACCCGTCTACACCCGACTGTTTGCAAACCATGTGTTTTAAGTTGCAATCTGCAGTTCAGAAAGCCTACCGCTGAAAAGTACATTTGCAAGCACTACATGAGATTGATAATAAAATGTGTCAGAGATGTTCCCATTCAGGGTTCTCCCAGTCTTGTGGAAACTGCTTCTCTATAAGCACCTCTCAGAAGCCAAGAACAGGGTTGAGAAACCTGCAGTTCTCCATAGGTCCCATTAGTTATTACAGTGGTACCACGGGTTAAGTACTTAATTCGTTCCGGAGGTCCTTAACCTGGAACTGTTCTTAACCTGAAGCACCACTTTAGCTAATGGGGCCTCCTGCTGCTGCCGCACCACCGGAGCACGATTTCTGTTCACATCCTGAAGCAAAGTTCTTAACCCGAGATACTATTTCTGGGTTAGCAGAGTCTGTAACCTGAAGCGTCTGTAACCTGAAGCATATGTAACCCGAGGTACTACTGTACTATTAGCCTTGGTTGCTGGGGCAAAAGAGAGCTGGAGCCCAACATGTAGAGGGCCAAACCTCCCCTATCACGGGACTGGACCTGTTTGCATGGGCTGTTCTTTAACCCATTCACTGCACCCATATAGTTGGGCCATCTGAGCATCCTCCCAGTCACTCAGGAATCACCTGCTGCAACATACAAACACGAAACGTTGTCTCCACATGAGCCCTTTTCTCTGGCACTGTCAGATTACTGGTGTATTTGTTGATATTTTTTCTTGCTCTTGTGGTAATTTTGTACAATGTACACTTTACTGCTACACTTTACTGGGACACTTTACACTTTACTGGGATGCGGGTGGTGCTGTGGGTTAAACCACATGTGCTGGTCCCGGGGGGAAGGTTACCGTTGGCGTAGTCAAAGTCCGGTCCTGGGTCACTAGCCTGGAAACAGTTCACAAGGAGCGGGGCGAGGTCCGAAGCAGGAAGCTGGGCGGGGACAGGAACACTGGAAGGTCAGGTCTGGGTCCGGGCAGGAGCAGGTACTCAACGACGTTGCTCCCACAACCTGGGACAGGGCTGACTGGCCTTTATCTTCTCTGAGGCCAGCGGCGGCCCCGGCCCCCAGGAGACCCGCCTCTCCTGGCCTTAAGGCGAGCACTCCTCCTGGGAGAAACCAGTTCCCTTCGCCTCTCTGCCCTGAGCCTCTGCAGTTCAGGAGAGGCTGGGGAGTTACTGGATCCAGGAGGAGACTCACCTTCCTCTGGCAGGGCTGGGAGAGGCGCACCTGTAGGCACTGTGTCCTTAATCACCTCCGGAGCTAGAGTGGAATCACCTGGTGCCTGCTCCTGAGGATCTGGCACAGGTGCAGGCGCTTCAGATCCAAGGCCCCGCCCCAGCTCAGCCGGTCCTGGATGCGGGGACTCTTGTGCAGCCTGGGGTTCCTCTGGTTCCGCCTCTGAATCGGATTCCCAGGCCATCACACCACAGAGCCTAGGACTTGCCGATCAGAAGGTCAGCGGTTCGAATCCCCGCAATGGAGTGAGCTCCCGTTGCTCGGTCCCTGCTCCTGCCAACCTAGCAGTTCGAAAGCACACCAGTGCAAGTAGATAACTAGGTACCGCTCTGGCGGAAAGGTAAATGGCGTTTTCGTGCGCTGCTCTGGTTCGCCAGAAGTGGCTTAGTCATGCTGGCCACATGACCTGGAAGCTGTACGCCGGCTCCCTCGGCCAATAAAGCGAGATGAGCACCGCAACCCCAGAGTCAGCCATGGGTCCCTTTACCTTTACCTTTACCTTACACTTTACTGCTCCACA